ACAAAAAGGCAAAAATAATGAAATTAATGGTGCCCGGAAAGCGCCTAATCAAAATCCTCTGTTTCGGCCCTGGCGCACGAACGAAAGAGGCAGCGAGACGGGAAAATCGAGCGATTGACGGTCGAATTTTTTTTCGTGCACGCTCGTCCTTTTTTTCAATTACTGGCAAACCCGTCAACATTTTTTATTGTTCTTGGAATCAATGGAAAGCTTAGATTTCAAGAAATAATTATGTTAAAGGACAATTTTTTTCGTCGATTTTCCTGGACCATGCAAGAGGTTAAAGTCAAGGTAGGAAATAAGCAAAAAATTACAATTATTTTTTCAACTTTGTAACATGATATATTTAAACCTATTTAAGCAATCTCATTCAAATAGGTACCATTTTTTTCGAAATTTAATAAGCTTTCCAACGCTATAAGGGAAAAGTCTCTACGTTAATTTCTCTCAGAGTTATCTTTATTTTCACGCGAGTATGTTTTTCAATGACTCGCGGTGTAAGCGTTCGCACAATTTCGGACGGTAGTGTATGTACTTTTATAATGTTAAAATAATAGTGTAATGAAATAAAAACAATTTTGTGTGGCTCTGATGTAAAAAAAAATTATTGAAAATACCGTTCGGATTTACCCCGGTTTTCCAATTTTCCTGGGTAAATACGAACGGTCTGATATTATTAATAAAATTTTACAGAAGGCAAAAATGAAAAATAGTTTCTGTTCTAGTATTCATAACAAACAATTATAAATAATAAAATAAATTTTTAGCTTCTTTTTCTTCAAATACGAGACAAAATACTGAAAGAGTGTCATCTTTGATTTTCAATCTTTTTTGCAATACTCGTTATCTTTGTTTATGCTGTTGCTAATTAACAAACGAAAAATGGGATAATACTTAGAATCTCTTGAAGAGGATCTGAGGTAAAAATTCTCATATCGAACTTATTTTTAAAAATTTTAATTATGCTGAAATAATTAGCGTTCGGATTTACCCCCCGTTCGGATTTACCCCGGCTGACCCTATCATTCATTTAATTTTTATTATAATTATTTTATTGCATATTTTTGCCAAAATTTCGTTACTTAAAGCAATATAGAAAATTTAAATATTAATTTTTCAAAAAATCCGTACGTATTTCGCGAGATTATAATATCACAAATAAAATTAAAAAAACTAAGAGGATCGATTGAAATTTGTGGCAGCTAGAGTGCCCACCGATTTTTAAAATGTAGTTTTGAGAAAATAGCGTTTAAAGTTTTTATAACAGTTTGGTTCCGATTAACAATGATTAAATAAAAAATTACCTCTAATCAGCTACGCTGGGTCCATATAGTATATCACCTTTATGCCTAGAAGGCATAAAAAATTTTGTTTAATTTTTTTAAAATTTCAAAATGGTGTAACCCCTTAATTGAGATTTGATTTTGTCTACCTGTCAAGATTGACCATTGCTACGTTATTAGCATGGTGGCCTTCTTCACGTAGGACTAATTTGACAGATTAAAATTATTTTATTGATTAATTTTAATATTTAGTTTCTTTTGTCCCCTTAATTATTTATATTTTTTTTTTAATTTTGTCCCAAGAAAGGACTGGCGCCTAATTACAATTTATTCGAGTCTTCCTAAGTAATCTTGATTAATTTAATTTAATGATTTGTTTAAAGATTTAACATTAATAAAAATTAAAGTTACAAGGAATATGTTAATAAAAGGAACATTTGAAAGCATTTGGTAGAAACGTGACTGGAAGGCTAATGAATGGGAATACTTTGAGTATCGTTAATTTTTACATTCTCATAATAATGAGAAAGTATTACATTTGCCCGATTTTGACTAACCTCTAATACATATAAATCTCCACGTTTCAAGCCTTTTTTTCTACAGTTTAAGGTGTTTGTGCAAGAAATTGCAATGAAATAGTCTGCCTAAGAAAAATTGAATTTTTTTGGGGAGTTTTTTATGACGAAAACTGTTTTATAGGTGGTAATAAAGGTTTTCCTCTACTCGGTTCGGGCTGTCAATTTTTATGTACACATTTTTTATACACTATTATTCAAATTTTGAGTTTTTAAAAGTTTCAAAAATTCGCATTTTTTAAAAAAAATTTTTTTGCCATTTTTTTAGAAAAATACGAGTAAAAATAAACACTTTTTTTCTGACAATTTTTAATAGCGATTAAAACAAAAAAGTTATACCTCTTTTTTTTAAAAAAGGACAAAAAAAGACAAAAACGGATGAAAAATGGGTAAAATGCAGGGCAAAATTACTTTAGTTTGAGAAAATATGAGTAACTATGTATTATCTCTGTTTAAACCACCTTAAATTAACACAAATAACAGTGACTTACTCATAAAATTCCAAATATTTTTTTTTTAATTTTTATTTAAAAATTTATTTTTAAATTCTCATCATAAGTGAGAAAGTATTCATTTTGGTGCATCTAGGGAGGAAAATGGTTGATTTCCGCGAGTGTAGTTTGCAGTTCGAGACGTAGTGAGTGCCCGAGCCGAAGGAGAGAATTGCAACTACACGAGACGGAAATCATTTTCCTCCCTAGTTGTACATACTATTGTTTCTAACACACATACCGAAAGTACATAGATTAAAAATAAAGAATGTTAATTTTTCTAAAAACGGTATTTTATTATTAAATTTTAGCGAAAAATATAACTTTTATAGTAAGTCGACTACATTGAGATTAAATTATGTTATTACTGATCAACAGAATTGACAAAATGACAACAAACGTACAGAGACGCCAAGCGGAGAAAGTGTACACTATTGTTTACGTGATTATCGATTTTAAATTTGATTCGATATATCGAAATATCAAAATTAAACTTAAACTCGGTATTTCGAATCGATAGTTTGGTAGTAAATTTAATAATATATTGTTCTTGTTCTTCTTAATGTTCTATAAACAACAGAAATAAAAATTGACGTTACGGGGAGGGAAAGTTACATTCCCTCCCTGCTAGTGACGTCAGAGGGAGGGAAAGTACTTTTCCTCCCTGCCAGTGACGTGAGCGGGAGGGAAAGTTACTTTCCCTCCCGCTCGCCGGGAAAGACATACTCTTCTCCCTCTTTGCAGGTAAAAAATGGCGTACTTTCGGTGCGTGTGTTAGAAAAAATCTTTTTTTTAATGCTTGTAAATTGTTTATTTAAAAATTTTTTGTTCTTTTAGTACACTATTTGATAGAGCCTCAAAGTACCTGTAAAAATTTTGTTAATGAGTTAATGCATTCCTACTTTTCCTATTGTATGTTTCTAATTTTCGAGCGTGAAACGCGAGTGTCGTGATGAGAATGTTATCCTTAAAGTCAAAGTACTTTAAGAAAATGAAATTTAATTTATAAGAACCAAAAATTTCACTTATATAAAATGTACAAAAAAAATTTTATGAATAAAAACATGAGGGAAAAACCTCATATAATAAATTTGTTGATTTAAAAATGCATTACCTATTTGTATAATATAATTTAACGCATTTTAATAAAGACTATGAGTTGTTTCTGATAAATTTTTCAAAACAAGTCGATTATATGAAGCTCCCCTTTTAAAATAACTACTTTTGTACATATTTTAATTCTGTGTGTAATTAATTTTACTCTTTTAAATAAAATTAATAAAAATAAATTCTTTCTTCTTGACATTTTACTTCAAAATTAATTAAATCAACTACAAAGTCTGAAACAACTACAAAATCTCATTCTACCAAATGGATTCTTGGGTCATTTAACTTCTTTCTGGTAGTATAATTGATACAATTTTTGAATGTAATTGAAAAAATTTTGAATTACACAGTGTAGTTAAAAAGTTATTAATGCTACTAGGTTTTGAATTGTAATAAAATTAATATATATATACATATATATATATAACAAATTGAAAACAATATTATTTAAATTAAAATTATTTTATTACTGGCAATATCAGAAGTAATCCTGTCGCCAATCAATAAGGCCTAGATCGCCTGCACTTTGAGTATGCGGACCTTGTACCGTTTTATTTAAAGTTATTGAAAATGATTTTGTACTTACATTGCTGACACTAGTGAGAACCGTCTTCTCTTGGACCTCTTATTTCTACTTCCTTCAGGAGCTCCTCTGATCGACCTTCTTACCTAACTGTCTAATTTAATACTACCCCTCTTTCCCATATTATTTCTAACGTAATTAGTCCTATCCCTTCTCTACCGCTATATGAGCTATCCTTCTTCTGACCTGGCCTTAAGAAAGGCGAAGATTAAATAGTAATACATGAACAGGTATATAATAATAAATGTTAAATTGATCTGAGGGATCTTCTGGCGTCAAAACAGACTGTACTTTTTTATCCACGAAAACTTTAATTTAACGAAAATTACAATAAACAAAAACTCAAAAAAATATAAAGCAAATATAAACTTTAAACCTTAAATAGGAATAAATTTAATATGACGGTAACAGTATAACAATCATACAAGATAACATTTTGGATTTTAACAGTTGTACAAACTAACATTATCACCGGTTGTGCAATATAACAGTTGTTATAAAAAATTTTCTGTTATAATATTACCCATGGAAGCTTATACAGCAGAGAAAGGAGCTACAACAAAATGTAATATAGAAAACTTATATATACGTATAACTAAAAGTTCAAGCTTCCCAAAAGTACCAACCAACCGCTCTTTAATATATCTTCAAATAAATTTTTCAGCATCCAAAATCCTCAAGGGATCAATATTGACCCCACTGCATCACTATATTTAATATATTGAATAATTAAAATAAAAGATAAAACAAGTGATACTAATAAACAATACGAAAGGACTTTTCTCGTTTATTCTAAAATAAATAAAAAATACTATCTATCCAATGAAATTTAATATATATATAGGTATACATTTATACAATAAATAAGATTTTAATATCGTAATTAGTAATAACAAGGTAACTAAATATATCATTCAATATTATATTAATTATTATTATTATTTATAAATATATATTAAATACGTTAAAAGAAAATATTTATATCAAGAAACGTACTTATTAATTAATAATTAAAAGATCGTTTTAACACAATGGTACACATATTTACAAAACAAAATCATCTATACTCATATAATACTTAAGAGGTTTCTGTCGCATTCATGACTTTGGTACTTAAAAAATATTAACAAATTCGAAAAACTATCCAACAAAAGGTATACAGAGGAAGTATGTATATATATATATATCAAAAAAATTTACAAAATGTATTATATATTTTTTTTATGAATATCCTTCTTGAGTTGTGTATGTGGCATAATTTTGTAAACCATGTTCTTGATGATCTTCTCTATCGTAACCTTGATAATGATGATCTTGACCGTGTCCGCTATAAGTACCACCAGAGTGATCGTTTTTACCGGAAGTGTGCACTACTGCGTGAAATCCGTCTTTATCTGCGTGGTAACTCACCACACGAATTGTGCCGCCTGGCTCTTTTACGCTGTATTCGCCATGAACACTGTTTCCTGAAAGTGAGGAGAAAAAAGAGAGAGAAATTTATCCAAGTGCTACAAAACAAATGTCAGAAAATGTATATAACGGATATTTTCGACGTAAAATTTTTTTTTTTACAATTTTTATACAAAAAAAAGAACGCTACTTATGAATCCGAAGTCATATTTTCAAAATTAAAAATGACGGATCTAATATGTCGAAACAATTATTAAAAATTGACCGAATTCGATTGAGTAACTCGGAGATTTTTGAAATTGCTAATGAATTTGATGTCAGTTTTTTAAAATTCAAAATGGTAGATTTAATATAACGGAAGAAATTTCGTTGAAATTGATCGCAATTTGCTTGAATCCGAATTCAATTTAAGCGAATGTAATAAATTTTGAAAAACTCTTCTACTATATATTGGATCCGCTATTTTGAATTTTTAAAATCTAACTTCATATTCGTAATCATCGGCCTTAAAAACCTATGAGTGAGGACATATTATAATTAATTATAAAATAATTATTTTTAATTGTTAAAAGTAATTAACTTTATATCCGATTGATATATGCAAATTGCATAAACACTGAATAGTCATGTATTAAAATCTAAATAACTCAATCTTTCAAATCTATGGTTACTAATTAACTGAGATAATTACAATCCTGACAAATTTAATGATATAATTTAAACATAAATTATTCGTATTATAAAATATAAAGTGAAATTTTAAACAGATCATCATTAATTTGCACAATATTAAAATAAATATAATATTCATAAATTAAACTCACCGTCTCTGTGTTCCTTTTGACCATGAAAATCACCAGTATGATGATCCTGAACACCATAAGAAAATTGATATTTCGGATGTGCAACATAGTCCAGGGAATAATGATCTTGATGATCGTGATGATCATGATGATCACCGTGTAGATAATTGTGCTCACTATGAGGAGCAAAATATGGTACTTTCACTTCATAATCTGGACCCACCACTGGCCCATGAAAATGCATAAAAGAATGAGCTACCGACAAATGATGATGAGGATCATGTCCCAGCGAAACGTAACCAGCGTTTGACCAATTAATGACTGTCACAATTATTGCCAGTAAATTAACGATCTAAAAATAATTAATTATATTTACTTGAAATTTCTTTTTTGTTTATTACAAATTTTTTATTTATCACTCAGGTATAATATATTTTTTACTTGAACCCTTATTGTATAGTTAAATTAAATAAAAATTATTTGTCGTCCAGAAAAAATTTTGACTTTTTTTATACGATTCTGATAGAGAAAAGTACGCTAATTACGAATCCGATATCAGCTTTTCAAAATGCCGGATCCAATATGGCGAATTTTTTTTTTAAATTGATGGAATTCATTTGAAACTAGCTCATAATAATAATAAAATAATGATAATGAATTTCATTAAAAAATATTTAACAAATAGATTGAATAGAATTTTTTTTAATATAACGTTATCAATACTGTTTTATCATTGGTGTAGACATAAAAATTCGCCAGTTGATTTTGTGGATGACAAAAAAATTTCGAATATCAGCATTCTGAACGTGATTAAAAGAGGAAGTCTGATGGCATTGCCGCGTAATTCGAATTCGTCGCTCGGATTTTAATTACGTGAATGCAACCGAGCTCTTGGAGTTATATCTATATAAATATATCGATTTTAGTTTTGAATTGCGAACAGCACGCCTTCCTCGTGAAATGAGAATTTTTAAATTTTATATTCAATATCCGTTTCGTTATATCCATAAACACCCGAACGCACTGTGATCATAACAACTACTAATCATTTCACTATTACTGTTCTTCATCTTGAGCGATAAATTTTCAATTTTTATAAATCCGCACAAGCACTCTTTCAAATCACAAACAGTCACAGGAAGTTAATAACACTTTTCTTTTATATCCAACACGTTGAATGGATTTATTTCTTATGAATAAAAAAAGAAATTATGTTTTATACTTTGAAAATACAGATTTCTTTTTTAAATTAATATTATTGGAATTTGCTAATTAATTGAGAGAATATATAATATAAATTTAAATTTCATTAAAATTTCTAAATTTAAATATTACGAAATAATTTTTAATCTTGCAACAGAATTATTTTTATATTTGGTAAATTAATTTCAAATACACGATAAGTAATATCAATTTTTAAATCTTCTTTTTTGTACTTCTTTTCAAATATGCAATTTCTGCCTCTCATTTGACTTATTTTCACTTGATTTATAAGTTTTTTGTTTAAATTTTTTCTTTAATCATAAAAATTTTACAATAAAAAAAAACAAAAGTTAACATTCATTGTTTCCGTTTTTCGAGAGATTAAGTATTTCTAGTAATTGGGTGGTTTTTTTTATTTTTTTTTTTATTTTAATCATCAATGAATCTTTTTTTTCGCACTACCTTGAGAATCATCTCCATTATGATATTAAGGCGGTCAAGTGAGAACTGCGACTTTCCAACTTGTTTTCTAGGCTTTTATACTGGATTCACAGTAGGAGTATTACTCTGCATACAAATATATGTACTTATATGCGTATGTCAATATATATGTATATGGCCATCTTCAAAATGGGAGTTCCTAAATCCTACCCACAATCACACACCTTTTCTCGATCGATGTAACTTGAGCTCTTTACAGGTGACAGTAACAACGTTACGTACTTCCGATATAGAAAATTTCCTCGAATTATATACACGATTACAACGTGTATTAAGAAATTCTCTAGTGGATACTCCATTTCAATATTAATGCGAGAAAACTTACCACTTTTTTTCAAAATAATAATTTTTTTAAAAATAATTCTTTTTTTTTAATTATTATTTTGAAAACTGTTTTTTTAAATATTATTATTTTTTTCATATTGTATTAGGTACTTTTTTTATAAATTTTTGGATTTATCACTCGGTAAAGATTTTAAGGAATTATAAGTGATTTCTTTGGGGGTTCAGATTTTTGAACGGATTGGATCTAGATTTTTAATATGATTTAAATATCGTATTGATTCCGGTAAATTAGGGTCAGAAAATAGTATAAACAAGTAGGGTGTCCTTTATGTTCATTTCATGAACATTTTGCTTCCTCATTATATGATGCAAAAAATTTGCTTCCTCGTGGAGGAAGCAGTAACACTGAAATTAATATACATAAAAAAATTGTGTTTGTTTAAATTCAAGTTTAAACATAAAATTATTGCATTCCTTGCATTATAATAAATCGATCGGTATATATAAAACAAGGAGGGGGTCCTTTATGTTTATTTCATAAACATTATGCTTCCTCATTGTGTGAAGCAAAAAATTCGCTTCCTCGTGAAGGAAGCAATGAATTTGTCCAATTCAATTGATTGATTTAAAAAATTTCGAATTAAAAATGTTTTAAATTAATTAAATTTTTTGAAAAATAAAGAAAATTTTAATTAATTTTGAGTGTAACATAAACTTTATATATACGAATCGATTCGTTTTAATGCAAGGAATACAATTATTTTATTCATCAACTTGTATTAAAAAAAAACACAAAATTTTTTAGCTAAAATATGAATTTTCGATTTTTCAATTTTTATTAATTCTCAAATTTTAAATCAAATCTATACTTTATATATACCAACCAATTCGTTTCAATGCAGGGAATAAAATTATTTCATATATAAACATGAATTTAAATAAACACATAATTTTTTAGCTAAAATGAGAATTTTTGATTTTTTAACTTTCTTTAATTCTTTAAATTTCAATCAAATCTATACTTTATATATATCAATCGATTCATCTTGACATAAAGAAGACGATTATATTATATATTACCTTAAATTTTTCGATTTAAAAATTTTTTCAATTAAAAAAAAATTTTTGGAAAAAAGACGATAAAATTTTTTTTTTGGGGTATTTTTAAAAATCCTTTCGTCATTTTTGAGAGATTAATGTGTTAAATAAGCCTACTAAATTTTATCCAAATCCATTAAAACCTGTTAAAGATATCGTGTTCACAAAAACGATCCACACACACATACACACACACACACACACACATACACACACATACATACATCCGGACAATTGATCAGGATCTCATATAACATGTTTCTATATAGAGGAAAATTTGTTTTCACCATTTTTAAAAAGTTTATAAACGAAAGGACTACATAGCTTCCTCCACGAGGAAGCAAAAGGAATACAATTATTTTATATTTGAACATGAATTTAAATAAACACAAAATTTCTTTGTTAAAATGTAAATTTTTTATTTTTTAACTTTCATTAATTGTTTTAATTTAACGCAAATGTATACTTTATACATACCAGTCGATTCGTTTCAATGCAAGGAATACAATTATTTTATGTTTAAATTTGAATTTAAATAAAAACACAATTTTTTAGCTAAAACGTAAATTTTTTATTTTTTAAATTTCATTAATTTTTTTAATTTTATTCAAATGTATACTTTCTATATACTAGTTGATTTGTTTCAATGCAAGGAATAAAATTATTTCATATATAAACTTGAATTTAATCAAACACATCATTTTTTAGCTAAAATGAGAATTTTTGATTTTTTAACTTTCATTAATTCTTTAAATTTCAATCAAAACTATACTTTATATATATCAATCGATTCATCTTGACATAAAGAAGACGATTATATTATATATTACCTTAAATTTTTCGATTTAAAAATTTTTTCAATTAAAAAAAAAAATTTTGAAAAAAGACGATAAAATTTTTTTTTTTGGGTATTTTTAAAAATCCTCTCGTCATTTTTAAGAGATTAATGTGTTAAATAAGCCTACCAAATTTTACCCAAATCCATTAAAATCTGTTAAAGATATCGTGTTCACAAAAACTATCCACACACACATACACACACACATACATACATCCGGACAATTGATCAGGATCTCATATAACATGTTTCTATATAGAGGAAAATTTGTTGTCACCATTTTTAAAAATTTTATAAACGAAAGGACTACATAGCTTCCTCCACGAGGAAGCAAAATGATATGAATTAGCCCGTAATAAGTCTGGACGAAAACACTAATTTTTGTAGTATTATACCTTCTAAAGAAATATTTATACTGTAACGCGGCATTTTGTCGCGTACAAATGACTTAAAAATAATAAATTTTGTTAATAAACGACACCAGGGTGGGAATCGAGCCATAACGGCTTTAAAATGTTATAAATTATACAAATTGCTTTCTTATGATACTCCCTTTATTTTGTTTAAATAATAAATTCGGTTCTAATTTGTCTTTTCGTTCTGTTATGAAAACTCTCGCGAGGCATTGAGAAATCTCGACGAATCACAAACATATATATATATATATATCTTTTTATAATATAGTAATGATATATATCATTACTATATTATAAAAAGATATCGCCGCCGCCGCCGCTGATTCAAGAATGAACGCTAGGCGAGAACTTCGACGCTACGCGGAAGCTCACAGTACTCGCCTACCGTTCAACTCACGAAGTATTCAGACTCGCTTACCGTTCAGAATTTGTCTCAAATGAACACTAGGCGAGAACTTCGACGCTACGCGGGAGCTCACAGTACTCGCCTACCGTTCAACTCACGAAGTATTTAGACTCGCGTACCGTTCAGAATTTGTCTCAAATGAACACTAGGCGAGAATTTCGACACTACGCGGGAACTCGCTGTACTCGCCTACCATTCAGCACACAAAGCATACATATTCGCGTAACGTATGCCTCAAATAATAAACCTCAAATAATAACAGCCTCAAATTTACGTCAAAGGTGATAGGCATGGAGGCGAACATAACCTCAAAATTTTGTCAAATTCATAGAAAAAAATACTGACATAACCTCAAAATTAGGGTCATCTTGGATATAAATAAATTTTTTTAAAAGAATTTGGCAAAAATTAATCTTTCAAAACTTATTCCGTTCCTAATTAACTTTTTAATTGGAAAATAGATGAAAATTTAGTTTACGGATGCAGGTTAAAATATAGTTTATGTTCATATTAAAATATAAATAAATTTTTGCTGTTCAAATGTAAAAACTTTTGATTAAAAATAAATTTAATCAAAATAATATTTAATATTTTTAGTGAATTTATATTATAAAAAGATATCGTCGCCGCTAATTTCAGAATAAATAAAAATGAAGTTTACAGATGAGAATTAAAATATACAGGAGTGGGATTACAAATAGCGACAGCGCTACGAAGATTTCGCTACGTAGCGATTCAAAGCTACATTCACTTTAAAAAATTTTCTTGCTATCAGGTGACTAAAAAAAATGGTATCATTTTGATAGATTCAGGTTGGTAGAATTGTTCTTCTGTGTATTTTTCTTCTCATATTTGTTTTATTTTATAATTTAACAATTTTTTTAGAATCAAGAATGTATCTAATTCATAAAGATTTCCTACGATAAAGAAATGAAGTAATTAAAAGAAATATCTAAAAGCCTAACAAATTTTTCAAGTGTAACACTTAAAATCTCAAAAGTTATAAAAATTATAATTAATAATTATAAACTAAATAAAACATAATAATAATAAAGAAATGTAGAAAACATTTATTTTAAATTTCTATCCTTACAAAAAATCAAGAAAATAATTCAACTTTATCCAATAATAATAAACTATTTACTTTTCTTTTTTATATTAATAATTAAATATTTATTGCATTTATATTTATTATCTTTTTCATAGGATTAAAAGTTTCCATTAGACATTGTCTAAAATGGGGAAAAAATTTAATTTAAAAAATTTTGAAGATATAACCTCGGAAATAGAATTTTTGTTCTCACGCAAGGTTTCACTAAAAAAATGTATAGGGCATTTTTTGTGAGTTAAAAAGTTTTTCAAGAAATGAAAATTTAAATCAATTTTATTAAAAAAATTTATCAATTTTTAAATTTAGGCTGGTAAAGAATATCCTAAAATTTTAAATCTCATGCAATTATTATTTTTAATTCTTGCAATATGATTAATTTTCTTAATTTTTATTTATTATATTAAATTAAAAAAATTTATTTCCTTTATAAATTATTTTAACATTACACTAGATAATTTATTTTTAAAGTTGTTATTTATTAAATTAATAGATTATTTGCAATATTAAAGTATAATTTATTTCGTCACTACCCAGATAACAAACGTGTCTGGCACGTTACAGGCACAACGAGCGGCGGACCGTGTCCCTGCTGTAACGCACCTTTTGTGCCACCTACTTTATGACAAGACCGACTGTGCCAGCATCGTGCTCGCAATATTCCTGACATATTATCCGGATCTTTTGTCCAGGATATATCTGCCAATAGGCTTGTTTAAATTTCTGTTTTTGAATCTTCATTATAAATAAAAAAAGTATTACTTTCACTAATAAAATTAAATAATTTATAAATAAATTAATTTTTATTGATATTTTATTTTTTTGTAGTGATAAGCAAAACAAGTTTGCAATAATTTTTTTTATGGTTCAAAAT